AAGTCTTGCTTTCCTGGGCAGAGTTGCAAGCCCAGGAATGGTTCCATTATCCTCTAGCTTTTTGCCTGGAGGCTATTAGTCACACTTACTTGAAGAGCCTAGTGTTAGTTGAATGAAAAAATCCCTCCGGTGCTCAGCGTAAGGGTATTTCCCGTGGGTGGGGCAGAAGCTGGTTGTTCATGAGCCTCAATTTGCATTTCAATGGCCCACCAGGTGGGGTTGAATCTCCGAGGGAGGGGCCACCACCTCTCCCCAGAGCCCTGGGAAGGAGTAAGATGGCCACCATCATGCGTGGCCACAACTTATCAAAAGCTCTGAGCGCCCTCCAAATCCTGAGTGTCCCCACACAGTTCCAGTCCAGTCTGCCCTCCCTCTGCCAGAGCCCAAAGTGAGTGGCAGTAGCTATTTTAGCATCTGTCCTGGCTCTGCGCTGTGGAGCCGCTTGTGAGTGTAAACCTGAGGGCACTATTCACAGCTAAGGGTGCTGCTCACAGCTAAGACCACTGCTGTCCGTGGGCTCCCAGCCCACCTCTCGCGCCTCCGCAATCCTACCAGGATCGAGTCAGTGTCCCTGGTTATATGGTCCTCACAAGCTGCTTTTCTGTTGCTTTTTCCTGATGATTTGTCTTTCTTTTAGTTGTAATTCTAGTTTGGTCCTGGGAGATGGTCTGTGTAGTTTCCATTCACTCTGCTGCCATTTTGGAATCCCTGCTCTCACTTTTAACCACCAGTTTAACACTATTAGTAATACCTTAAGGACAATATCAAAGAGGAATGAGTTTATGCAGCTCTCCATTGATAAATCAACGAAGCTTATGTCTTTAAAAGCTAGTTTTTAGCCACAATTAAAATGCTTAATTGTATTATTTCATAAAAAAGAATCAAGAACATTTATAAAATTTGAAGATTAAAGAAAGGAACAAAAATTTGCTCAGAAACCTACTATCTTAACACAACCTCTACAAATTTTGACGACAGATCACACAAAGTATTTACACAATTATAAAGAGTACATACATTTTCCCCCTCCTTTTTCACTTTGCATTTTATATAGGAAGTGTTGCCTGTAATACACTTTTGTCATTGTTGTTAATCCTCACCCGAGGATATTTTTCCATTGATTTCTATTTTATTTATTTTTTAATAAACTTTTATTTAAGTATTTTTTTACTGGTTTTTAGAGAGAGAGGAAGGGAGAGGGAGACAGAAAGATCCATGAGAGAAAAACATTCATAGACTGCCTTCTGCACAGATGGAGCCCATAACCTGGGCATATACCCTGACTGGGAATCAAACCTGTGACCTCTTAATCCATGGGATGCTGCTCAACCAACTGAGCCACACTGGCTGGGCTCCACTGATTTTTACAGAGTGGAAGGGAGGGAGAGAGAGAGAAACATTGATGTGAGAGACACACATTGATTGGCTGCCTCCCACACAACCCTGATCAGGCCAGGGTCCTGCAACCCAGGTACGTGCCCTTGACTGGGAATAGAACCCTTGGGCCAATGCTGTAAATGCTGAGCCAAACTGGCAAGGGCTCCTGTAGCATACTTTTTAGAAATATTATTTTCGTAATATATAATTGCATAATATATAGTTTAAGGCACTAGTATAGCTTATTCAATCATTTCATAATCTTGGACATTTGTGTTTTTTTCCCAATATTTTTAGTATTTATAAGATACTATGACCCACATTTTTATGAATAAACGTTTTTTTCATAAGTAAGACTATGTTGGGAATTTCATGAGGGGCTCTATCCCATGTGTGAACATCACTAGAACTCTGTTCTAAAACAACTACAAAAATACATTATCAGAAGAAATGTAGATATGACATTAAAATCATTGAGTACTATTTTTTTGAGCCCTGGCCAGGTGCCTCAATCATTTGGAGCATCATCCCATACACCAAAAGGTTGTGAGTTTGATTTGCGTGTGGAAGGCAGCTGTCTCTATTATCTCTCTCTTTTTCTCTCTTCCTCCCTCTCTAAAATTATGAAAACGTATCCTCTGTTGAGAATTTTTTTACACAAATCATTAAGCCCAGCCAGTGTGGCTCAGTGGATTGAGCGTCGTCCCATGGACTGAGAGGTCCTGGTTCCATGGTCAGTTAGGACACATGCCCAGGTTGTGGGCTCGATCTCCAATAGGGGGCATGCAGAAGACAGCCAATCAATGTATCTGTCTCACTTCGACATTTCTTTCTCTCTCCCTTCTTCTATAAAAAAATCAATAAAAACATATTTAAAATTTTTTTAAATCATTGACTGCTATTTTTTAAAGATATTGCAAATCTGGTAGCTTATAATCATACTTTAATGTGCATCCTTAGGTACTTATGAAGTTGAATAACTCTCCATATCTTTGTCTACTAACTGAATTATATCTTCTACAACCTTTGCTCAGCACCAGTCATAGTACCTAGCACATTGCAGGCATTTGATAATTGTGTGTTGAATTAATTAATGTATCTACTAGGCTTTTCTATTTTTTATTTGTTTTTCTGTTTGTTTGTGGGGGTTTTTTGTTTTGTTTTTTAGAGAAAAAAAGTATCAACCCTTTGTATTATTTGGGACAGATATTTGCCTTAAGCCTTTCATAATAAAATGTGGACTATGCTTCCCCAATCAATTATAGAAAGGAAACAGAACATAATCTATCCTTTTTAAAAACTGATTCAGGATAATCACTTACTACAACAGAGAGAGAGATTCAATGTTTATTTGATATAGCATTTTTCTATAAAAATTTTTTTCAGGTGAAGGTAAGTTTCAATTGATATTTTAAAATACTTAAGAGTTGTTTTAAAATACAACTTAACAGTATTAGATAATAAGTAATAAAATGATAATTTCCCACATCTCTGAAATCTCTAACTACAAGGTTAGAATTCTGTGTGAGGTAAAATAAGGATTATAATAATTTCACTATGAGAACTGAATTCCACATTTAGGAAAGACATGTTGCTTAAAAAAAAAAAAAAAACAACTACTCACTCCAATATTTTATTTTGAATCTTGATTTAACATGGCTTGATAGTTATAGGCTGTGATTCTCTTAAGAGAATAGAGTCAAATAAACTAAAGGTTTCCATAAATGTATACTTTGTGAGAAGCACACTAAGCTATTCCTGTCAGCAGTAGAATGACTCTCTCCTGCACACTCCCATTCAACTTCCAGAGGCAGGACTAACAGCAACCCCACGTTCTGGGTGGTTTACTGGGTCTCTAACCTATGGACCAATGACACTTCCCCTGTAAAGAGAAGAGACCCCTCCAGGTTTAGGCCAATAGCTCACTAAGGCTGCATTTTCTCCCAGAACGTGTCCAACCTGTAAAAGCCAGAGGTGCGGCTCAGATGGTGTGGCTTCCTCCAGATTACAAAAAGATTTTCTTCTCTATATACATTTGAATATTTTATTTCTAATATATATTTATATTCTAATAAATATACATTTTACATTTAATTCTAACATAATATTCTAATACATTTTATATTCGAACATATAATTCAAGTAAAATAGTCTCTTCTCAGAAACAAAACAAAAAAAATGTCAAAAGTCACTTCAGCCTGTCAGACTGCCCGACACCTGATTCTGCACCCACACTGGGGGTAACACAGCAGGCAACCCAGACACTGAGCCAAGCATGTGGGGAGGACTTTTCTTACTGGCAAGGATTTCCCTTCCCACGGTGTCTTTCTTGTCAGCATTACTTTCCCCATTGCTCTGCCAGGGCTTCAATCAGCAAGAATGTCTTGGCGTTAACTCACAATTTCCACCCACCAAAGGAAACTGAAAGAACCAAAAGCAACAAGCAGCTACTTGAGAATTTTAAGGTTGTTGTCGACCACGGAGCCGTTCCTCTGACGACATTTGGTGTCACTAAATGTAAGAGAAAGCCCCAGGTCCCTTCAAGCTACCAGCTAACAGTCCTGTGTTCTGGGCACGAGCACTATCACTATATCTATCTTAAAGTTTAAGGGTTGACAACAAAAATCCCCTTTTTTGTGTTATTTCTATAAAAATCTCTCTTCACAAAAACTAGTTAGTAGTTTCTGATTTGCAAAGAATTTTATTTGTTCCTTAGTGTTTTAGTAAATGTTATTATAAAAATGAGAGAACAAGTTGTCCCCAAATAACTAAGGGATATGTCTCAAAGTTTTCATAAGTAGCATCTGTACATATTTTACCTTTGTAATTGCCTTCTTCCACACATTCTCTTTTGATCTGCACAGCAACACCGTGTGAGGTAAACAGGAGGAAAGTACCCACATTTCACAGCTGAAGAAGCCCAGCTCACATCGTTGAAGGGTCCAAGGTCACACAAGTAGAAAATGAAATAACCAAAACTTGAAACACAAGTTTCTGTTTCTCTCATTATACCACACTGTGTAAGTTGGAGCTTGGAATTTGAAATCGATCTTCCCACAATGGTAATATTACACATGGTGGTTTGGAGTTTAGACTAATCTACAAAGACTTTTCATTCACAAAGTCTGAAATATCAAAAAGTGGTACAGCCCTGGCTGATGTGGCTCAGTAGTTAGAACGCTGGCCTGCAGACCAAAGGGTCGCAGGTTTGATTCCTAGTCAAGGACATGTACCTGGGTCGCGGGTTTGATCCCTGGCCCCAGTTGGGAGACAACCGACGGATGTGTCTTTCTCACATCGATGTTTCTCTCTCTCCCTCTCCCTCCCTTCCATTCTCTCTAAAAATCAGTGAACTAGGAATCCTCGGAGGGGGGTGGGGTTAACACCGCCCCCTCTCAAAAAAAAACTAGTATAATACTCTATGCCTAAAAATGGACTTCGATAGGGTGACCTGAGCAAGCCCCTCTTACATGAATAAGGTCATTTCTTCGGTAAGAAATGCACCATATACTGCAGAGAAGAGATCCCTAATCGGATGAGGGGTCGGCTGATCCTCCCAATGCCCAGCCTCTGAAGCAGCAGCTGTACCTCTCAGAGCAGGAATGGGCTGCAGAACCACTTACACATCCCTTTCCTTCTTCCTGGTCCCAGAGGCCAGTCTCTCACCATGGAGATATAAGAATACAGTAGCTACAGAAATACTAGTTGCTTCCTGGGATTCTGGAGGTATCCGTCTCAGTCCCTAGGAGAAGCATTTTGTTTCATATATGTTAGGTATGCGTAAGGAGTACCAATAGCTGGAACGGTGAACAAGTTTCACCTCTTGTTCCAGCCTAACTTACGAGCACTCTGATGGGAGTGATTCAGAGACTGCAACAGGGATCAGGAGCTTTCTTCTTCTGGTTTAAACCTCACCTGAGGATATTTTTCCATTGATTTTCAGTGGATAGAGTGGGGGAGAGAGAGAGGGAGAGAGAGAGAGAGAGAGAGAGAGAGAGAGAGAGAGAGACATCGATGTGAGAGAGACACATTAATTGGTTGCCTCCCACATGACTTGACCAGGGCCAGGGACCGAACCACAACCGAGGTACATGCCCTTGACCGGAATCCAATGACTCTTTGGTCCACGGGCTGACACTCTAACCACTGAGTCAAACCAGCCAGGGCAGGAGCTTTTTTCTTTATTTTATATTCAAATTAGAGAAAGTAACAAAATCAGAAAAAAAAAAAAAGTGATTGCATTTTTTAGATGTATTCATTTTATTTGCTCAAAAGGTAGAGAATTAAGAGGAAAACATGTCCAGCCAGCCGGTGTGGCTCAGTGGTTGAGCACTGACCCATGCACCAAGAGGTCGCAGTCAAGGCCCAGGCCCAGGTTGTGGGCCTGATCCCCAGTGTGGGGCATGCCGGAGGCGGCCAATCAATGTTCTCTCTCATTGATGTTTCTACCTCTCTCTCCCTCTCTCTGTAAAATCAATAAAGGGGGAAAAAAAAGAGGAAAATATAATTAAATCACTATTATTCTTGCCTCTTATTTCCAAAGGGTATCTTCTCCTATGTAACAGGCACACTGCTTCTTCAAATGAAGATTTCTCTAACAGCCACAAAAAACACAAAAGCAGTTTCTCTACAACCAGCAGTAAAGGAAAAGATGGGAAACCGATGATCTGACTGAGCGAACACCTCTTCCTCCCTCCTTTTCCTCTTGGGCTATGGAATAGGAAAAACTAATAAGATACCAGAGATTCCATACATTCTGAGCATCCTTCTCTCCTTACATCCTCCCAAAATATAAACCAGGTTTCCTGTATTGGAAGACAGTGTGATAGGAAACAACGTAGTGTCGGAGACTGGCTGAGCATCAGAATCACATGGGACGTTTAAAAAATAAAACAAAAAGGTTCCACCGAACACAGAAGTGGAAAAGAGGAATTTGTAATTTCATATCACTCCACAGAAAATTCTGATGATCAGTTAAGTTCAAGACAACATAGAGGATAGAACCCTGGATAGTTCATGTTATCGGTCAGGCCTCCTCTACTGGGAAGCCTTCCAGCGTACCCTTTACCCCCACATCCAGATTATACATCTCCCCATATACATCCTCATCCCATGTATTCCCACAGCATCCTGAAGGACAGTCATCTTATAGAATTAGAGCTGTTTAATATATTGGCTCCCCATAGAAGCTATGAGTTTCTTGATGGTCAGGCATTTTAATATCGTTGTGTTTCAATATTCCCAATATCTAGTGCCAATACCAGGCATTTGTCAGGCATCCAATAACTGTTCATTAAATAAATGACTAATGAATCAGAAATCACAGATTCCATAACTAGTTCTTTTTAATTGTGTGACTTTAGTTACTTAACTTCTCTGAATCTCAATTTCTCTTCTCAAAAATTAAGAGACTGGACTAGATAATTTCTTATGGAGCCTCTAGTTATAGACCCCCAGTTAAGATAAAACTATATCAAACCATAGCAAGGTTCTAACGAAGGCTGCTAACAATGAGTAGCACAGAGTATGCAGTCAATAAATATTTGTGGAATACACTGGTGCTTCTCCTTATTTTCCTATTCAAAAGTAATCTGGATAATAGGCTAATCTCATATTTTCAGTGGGGGTAGCCCCAAATATCATGTACAGTACTGTTTTTACAATGACAGGAACTTCAGATTTAGATAGCTATATAGTTCTAGCAGTATTTTAAGCAAGTAATCATTGGTTCTCTAAAGTCTGTGGACAGAGCCCTCAAGGACTAATCGATCTAATAAATGCATAATTGATTAAAAGTTGAACTATTTTCAACACTAGCCTGTTAAGCTCCATGAGAGCAGGGATAATGTCTGTCTTGTTCACTGGTGACATTCTCAATGCCTAGCAAAGTGCCTAGCTCATATCAAAAGGCTAGTAAACATTTGTTAGATGAATGGGTACTGATAAAATTAGCACTGGTTCCAGAATAACGGAAGGAGGAGGTTATAAACCATGGTATGTCCTGCCCCATTATTCTGTGAAGTTCCTTACAAACTACAGAATGACCTGGCCCCAAATTTTATGAGACATGTCTTAGTATTACCTGTGATAGTTTGACAATAGAATACCAACAGATAACCATTTATTAACAACCCAAACTCAAACACATGACAAGTATTTAAGGTGAATTTATTCAGAAAAAAAATACATCATTAAATTTATTATTCATTGCTTCTAAATACATATTTATTTAATAAAGTACTTACGTCCACAATCATCTTTAGTATCTATAGTAGCAAATGGCATTTCTAGCAGAGAATCCATAGTATTGGCTTCACATTCTTCTGACTTTTCCTTTTTTCTCGACATATTTTCACACTCATTGGAATTTACTTCTTCTTTAACATATCACAAAAAAGAAAAATGTGTTATTTTGATCCAGTGATCCCACTTCTAGGAATATACCCTAAGAAGCCTGAAACACCAATCAGAAAGAATATATGTACCCCCATGTTCATAGCAGCACTATTTACAATAGCTAAGATCTGGAAACAGCCCAAATGTGCATCAGTAGACAAATGGATACAAAAGTTGTGGTATATATACACAATGGAGTACTATGCAGCTGTAAGAAAGAAAGATCTCTTATCCTATGAGACGGACATGGAGGGACCTAGAAAGTATTATCCTAAGCAAAACAAGCCAAACAGAGAAAGACAAGTATCATATGATCTCACTTATTTGTGGAATATAATGAACATAACAGTCTAAGGAATGGGGTAGTCCCAGAGACGTAGAAGTGGGGTACAGACTGACAATCCCCAGAAGAGGGGGTGGTGGGAGAGAGATAAACCATAGAACTTATATGTATGTATGCATGACCAATGGACATGGACAACAAAGCTGGGGACAGGGTGGGGAGGGACGGGGAGGAGGGAATCAGTGGGGGGAAAAGGAGAAACATCTGTAACAAAAATAAATTAATTTAAAAATAAGAAAAATGTATTATTTAATGTAATTAATTTATATCTAAGCTAAGACAACTCAACTAACTGAATTCAATATAACTTAACATGTTAAGAAATGATATCACTTGTATCCAAATATACTGTAAAGCTAGTTATATTAATATTACCTATACCATAGTCTATATTTTTATAGATGCATTTTTATGCTAAACAGCTTTGATAATTTTCTGAAGGACTGTACTCAAATAAGGGTTAGATGAAAACTCAATCAATAATCCTCAAGATCATTTATAGCTATATTTTCTTAATTCTAAACCTGTATTTTTTTCATACCTTTTGAAACAAACCAAAAAGGTTCTGTCAGTCTTTTCATGTTTATTTTTTAACAATATCACTATGTAGTCTCATTTGCACAAGCTCTGGCCTTTATTTTTTGCTTCGATAAAGACTTTTAAATCTTTTCTCTCCGTTATTATATTAACATTGGAAATTCAGTCAAAAATATATATATGAGGCTTTAAATATGCTTTTCTGAAAATTCAATGATTTAAAAGCAAAAGATCTTGATCTGGCTGGTGCTCAGTTGGTTACAGAGTCATCCCGATATACCAAGGTTGCAGGTTCAATCCCATCAGGGCACATACAAGACATTTTTTTTTTTTTAATCCTCACCCAAGGATATTTTTCCATTGATTTTTAGAATGGAAGAACGGAAGAGAGAGAGAGAAAGAAACGTCGATGTGAGAGAGACACATCAACTGGCTGCCTCCTACATGACCCCAACAGGGGCCAAGGATCAACCTGCAACCCAGGTATGGTGTGCCCTTGACTGAGAATCAAACCCACGCACCTTTGGTCCAAGGGCTGACGCTCTAACTACTGAGCCAAACCAACCAGGGTACATACAAGACACTTCTGAAAGTGAAAGGGGGAGCTCTTCATAATTACAACCCTATCAGTAAGTATGGTCACTTGCTCTAAGTTCCTTAAGCACCTGTCTTACTCTCCTTGGATTCCTCAATGCCTAGAACAGAGTTCAGTTCACAGTAGGTAATCAGTACATTTGCCCCGAGCAACTGACCAAAGGTAAGCACACATTTGGGAGTAATAAATTACTCAAGCTACACTGCAATATAGCTATCTCGATGGCCATGAAAAACGAACTCCTGCTCTGGCCAGTTTGGCTCAGCGGTTAGAGCATTGGCCTGCGGTACAGAGAGACCCAGGTTCGGTTCCCGCTAAGGGCACGTACCTCGGTTGCAGTTTGTCCCCGGCCCTGGTTGGGTCGTGCAGGTGGCAGCCACTCGATGTGTCCCTTTCACGTCGATGTTTCTCTCTCTCTCTCCCTCCCACTCTATCTGAACAAAATATCAAAAAATGTCCTCAAGTGAGGATAAAATAAATAAATAAATAAAAATTAAAAACAAAAAAACAAACTCCTGGTGTTTAAAGGCAGCTTCAACACACCACAGATTCTTATTTTCACAAGATGAATGAAGGAAAGGTACTACTATCCCATATGCCATAAAAAGAATTATTGAAGCATAATATGACTTGCTCAGCATCATTCTTCATCTTTTTATTTATTTTTATTTTTTTTATTTATTTTTTATCCTCACCCGAGGACATTTTTCCGATTTTTGTACAGATAGAGTGGGAGGGAGGGGGGAGGAGAGAGAGAGAGAGAGAGAAACATTGACGTGAAAGGGACACATCGAGTGGCTGCCACCCGCACGACCAACCAGGGCTGGGGACAAACTGCAACCGAGGTACGTGCCCTTAGCGGGAACCGAACCCGAGTCTCTCCGGACCGCAGGCCAACGCTCCAACCGCTGAGCCAAACCGGCCAGGGCCATTCTTCATCTTTTTAAATAAAGCATATATAAACTATTGAATGCAACGTTATGTCAAAAACAACAAGAGTCTAAAACATGAAATATAACCTTTGTTCCATTAAATTACACAATACTTAAAACCACTTTTGTAGATAAGAATTATTAACTCAGGAAAAAGAGAATACTACTTCCAATTAACTCTTGAAAGAACCGCTGGTCATTCTACAGAGCAATGTTTCTCTGCGGGGTTCAAACCTAGAAGCTTTCCTCCAGTTTTTCTAAGCTTTAATGTTAGACAAAGGCTGGCAGACATGAATTAAACATATCCATCATAACTACACTTTCTTTTACAGAAGGTATAAATATTTCGCTTTGGGAAAACTTCCTTAAAATAACTGACCCTTAAGTAAAGCACTTAAACTATAAATTGATTGTTTTGAGTACTTAAAATTTGGTCTAGCCATAGTCGAAACAAAATTCTATCTTCTGTACAAATCCAAATAAAAGCAATGCTTCTAAGTGCTCTAATAACATAAAGATGAGGTCAAACTAGCAAACTACTACCACTACTACTAACAACAGCTAACACTGAGCCTGTACCGTGTGCCAAGCACAGCCAGAAGCACTTGACAGACAGTGAGTAACTCCTGTCATCCATACAACCATGCTATCAGGGAGGCACTATTATTTTACTGATTTTACAGACTAGCCAATTAAGTAAACTGCCCAAGGTTACAGCTAGGTCTGGGGCTGGAATTTAAGTCCAGTCACTCTGCTGCCAAACCTGCTACTTCCAGCAACATGTCCTGATGTCTCTTAATATACACAGTTTATAGTGCTATAACTTGAAATAATCCTTTCAGAAAGCAGTCTGGCAACAGATCAGGAGCCATGAAAACGTTCTTCCTACTGATACATCTGGGTATCTATCATATGCAGTCTGCTGACATAGAGTCACCACAACTTTCTTTAAACAAAAAAGAAAAAGTGGAACAGTTTAAATGCCTAATAGGGATATGATTACACAAAGCATACTCACTCTAATGACAACTAAAAATAATGGCCATAAAGACTGCAACAACTGAAAAAAAATTTATACCAAATATTGACTTTTTAAAAAGTAAATATAATACTATGATTACAATTATGAAGCAAACAGCTAAAGGATGTAAATACCTAAATGCTGACATAGTTGTCTTCAATATATTTGTATTTTCTCACTTTCTATTCAAATGTTTTAAATAGAATTAATATTACTTTTGTAAGAAAACAATGTATACATTTAAAATATATTATAAAACCACACATTAACTATACACTAATATTCAAATATATGTGTACTCCAGCAAATAAGTTCATCATAGACAGGCCAATAGAGGAGGGAAAGGACAGACAGTTAGCTCTTTTTTTTAAATAATTTCCTCCTTTACTTATTTACATATTTTTGGTATTTGCCCCTAGTGGGAACCGAACCCACGACTCTCTGGTCCGCAGGCCGATGCTCCAACCGCTGAGCCAAACCGGCCAGGGGAACAGTCTGCTCTTTGTCACACAACATGCAAGCTCCCTATTTGGATAATAAAGTGTGACTTTATTAAGCAAGACTCTTCTGTCCACTCTACTACGTATATATATTTGGTATATTTCCCAAGAACCAATGGAAAGGGCCCAAGCCATCCATGCTAGTAAAAATAGCAGCATCTTACATCTGGATAAATGCTAAGAGCTGTGTGACAATCAACAAGTCACTTGACCTCCATGCTTTGGTTTCTTCATCATAAAAATAAAAGTACAATCCAATTGCTAGAGAAAAATGGACAAAATAAAATAATCACATCTGAAAAGAAATGGAGGGAAACAGTAACCTCCAGAAACATCTTAAACTTTGTTGATATAAGTATGGCAAAGACCCAGAGAAGCTATCTCAAAAACTCAAACCCTCTCAACCCACCCACAAGGCCTTAATCATTTTATTTCCATGACAATTGTTAACGTGTTTACTTAACACCAGTTAACAGCTATTATATAATACACTTAATGTTTTGATGCTTTTCATTATCTTCTTTATGAGTTTACACTACAAAGAGCTCCCCAAACAGCACCTTTTCTCTAATTGGTCCCCTTCACCTAAAGTCCAACCCCTAACTCGCTCTACGCACCAAGTCCAGTTCACAGGAAATGCTGACTTAAGCTGGAAATTAATTCTGGGCCCTACTACAGATTTGGCGCCAGTTTAAAAAGATCCTTTTCAAACATTCTAGAATAAACCCTCCACGGCGCACCGTGGTCCGGTCTTTCAGCTTTGTGGTCCAGGATAACTCGAGATTCTCTGGGCTGAACACACACCGTCGGAGGGTGTGTGATGGCACGAAGTCTGCAGCAGGATCAGACGTGGGAGACAAACTGAAACTTGGGGCGGGTTCACGCCCTCGCCCCCGTCGCCCCCGCAGAGCGTGCACTCAGACCCCCAGCTACGAGCAGCGCCGATCAGCCCGGATGGACCCGGCTCCCGGGAGCCACGCCGAGCCCTGCTTTGCGGGGGGGAGAGGAGGATCCGCGCGGGGCGGGCGTGGGG